TGTATCTTTAGCTACCTGGGCATTAATTTCTATGAGGTGAAATTACTGGGTCAGAAACCATATGCATTTTCTACTTTTGCACTTATAACTAAATGTCTTCCAAAAGACTGTATCAACTTACTCTCCCTCCTACAGTGAGTTACATGCTTATTTCCCAACAAAGCTGCGGATGGATATATTGTAATTGACAATGGTTTGATTCAGGTAACAGTCTTGTGGGTGCTTAACTGTACATTTTTCTCTCTATTTTTTTCCTACAAATCACTGCTTGCTTTTGTAACACACACACGTAGATAAAATACTTAATGAAAAAATTGAATGCTTTTAAATCCTTTGTCTTTGAGTTCTTTTAATCCAACATGCTATTAAGACAAAAGCATGGCCATAAAGAGTTCTTGGCAGGAGGCTTGAGGGGCTTATGAAATCATTATTGGGAGGCTATTTATAGGGTGCATCTTAGGGTTCTAGGTAGTGGTGGAATAGGAAGAAGTATTCAAGAAGTGGGAGTCTGGGATCATACATTGTTCTCAGGAGGGACTTATATGAGAGTGAAGAATGTGGAGTTACGCCCTGTCTCTTGTGAGGCTCCTATGGTCTTGAACAAGTTGCCTAATTCAGTGTTAATTCTTACATAGTGAGTAGGGGAAAAGGGCAAGGGAAGAGAGTACTGATCCTAACATATCCTTTTGGTATAATACAAAAATAATTAAATTATCTTTAATACCCCATATGTAGCAGTGGTGCTAAAAGTAGATACTTAAGAATGGCAGTTATAGCAGAGAAAGCATAAATCAGCTCGTAAGGCAATTCCAGAAAAACTTAGAGTAATCTAAATCAAAATGAAGAATTCAACAAATAAAAGCGGTCCTTGATTTTGTCTGTCATCTAAAAGCACACTGGCTGCTGCATAGACTAAGCGAAGAGTGGAGGTTTCGTTTGTTTAGTTGTAGTTTCTGTTTGTCTTACATTTTCACCTCATTAACACATCTCAGAATGTTCCGAAATATCTTCCTTTTTCTTTTTTCAAACGTAAGGTCTGTATTTTTGTGGGCCAGTGTGGGAATGTATTTTTTGTTGTCTATAGGTCATTCTGTCTGCACATATGCATCTTAGTTTCATATTTCCGAAAAAATAACAGGATGTATTTCCAGACACATGGATTGACAAAGGGATAGAACATTAGGAATCTAGACTCTCCTAAAAGGTCCAGGTTATGTAACTCTCTCCGCAAAGCATTACTGTAATTATTTGTAACAAATAATGATCCATGTGAATATTAAGGATGTTTGATGTACTATCAGCTGCCTCTTTCCTATGTAGATGAGCTATAATAAAGTAACAGCTTAAGAACTCCGCTTTTTCAGGTGTGTGTTAGATTTTCTCTCTCTTCCTTAGCCCTAACTTCTAACAGAGGAGGTAGAATCAGGACATCAATAATAATAATAATAATAACAAGAACAGGATAACCTTTGTTTTTATAGGTAATATAGTATTTTAAAGGGTTTTGAAGAACAACCTGGCATGTGAAATTTGAATATGGTTCAAGGCTGTTCCAACTAAAGTAAGGTTTTGACTTTTCTTGTTAACAAACAAAATCAATATGCAGTTGTGCATATATATGATTCATTCACATATACATTACCTCTGTAAAATATATACATGCAAGTCATTAACAGTTTTTTTAAATCTACAGACTGTCATTTTCTGATTAACTAGTTTTCTAGTTAAAATGAGGGCAAAGAAATCCCATTTACACTAATGTTTAGAAAATTCAACATGATGAATAATTACAGAAGCAATCTTGCCCAAATTAGAAAACTGTTATAAGGCACAGCCTTCTAAAATGGGGCTGTGACTTGGGAACTATTCCTCCCTGTCTTTTAAACTATTTTAGTAATTGTATTCTGCTCCTAGAGAATTGGAAGGCTGTCAGTTCCCTTTATTTGAATGCTTACTATGTGCCAGAGACTGTGCTGTACACTTGACATGTATCATTTCACTTGGTTGTCATAGAAACTATGGATGGAGGTAGTGCCACTTGAAAACTGAGCTTTGGAGCCGGGCGCGGTGGCTCAAGCCTGTAATCCCAGCACTTTGGGAGGCCGAGGCGGGTGGATCACGAGGTCAAGAGATCGAGACCATCCTGGCCAACATGGTGAAAC